GACCCCCCCCCCTCCAAAAAAAAAGTGGCAGAGCATTAGCCTTGAGCAAAAAAGAGCTCAGGAACACTGGTTATGTCCTGAGCTCAAGTCCCATAACCAACAATAAAAAAAATACATTGTAGGAGCCATCCTATGGTGAATGTCCTCTTCTCTAGGTTCCTTGTAATCTTAGGAAGCTAAAAATCATTGTCAGAAGTATGGTAGATGAAAAGTATCATCCTCAAGATCATGTGAATCCCGGAACCTCGGAATGTATTTGGAAATGAGAACTGGGGTATTCTGACATGGCTGGTATGCTTCTATTCTGCAATCTCAAAGTCACTTCCCAGGTTCCGGCATGCCAGGCCCATTGGTTTCTGTTGCCTTCAGCTCCACTGCCCACAGGGCATGCTGTGAGCGCCCACACAGAGCAGGCAGGAGATCACAGGGAAATCCTTCTATTCAAACCCAGAAGTAACGTCATTAGAAACCAAGGCAGCCTTGGAGGTCTGGGGCCTGCCAGACGGGCAGTGATAGAGAGAGCTCTTCTGCTCACAAAGGAAGAAAAACCTTCAGAACAACCAAGCAAGCTGATGCAAGTGAGCACTGCGGGTCAGACCTTGAACTTCCATCCCAGCCCTAGAACGGGCCCGCTGCACCTACCGCAGGAGGCGACACGATTTCCTCCTTGGTCTGCCGCAGCACGTCATTGTGAATGGTCACCGTGTCCAGAGCCCAGCCTTTGTGGGCACGGGTCACTTCTTGCCTCATTGCTGTGAGGAATCCTTCAGGAAAAAGCAGATAAGACTTTGGTGCCTTAGTATAGTCCGTGTGAGCAGCACAGTGGAGGCAATGGCGAGTGTTACTGGTAATCACTCTAAACTGTTGCAGCCATCCCACGAGAAAGCTGACACTGAACCCCGTGGGGCCCATTCTCCCACTGTTTTATTTCTAAATCTTTCCCATCAGTTGACAGCTGAACAGCACCCTCGCTGCTGCCTCAGCCTGAGCCTCAGTTCCACAGTCCCCTGGGATCTCAATCTCTCAGATCGGATGGGGGTCACAGCCCAATCCAACTCATAGTCTGTCAGAGAACACATATCAAACGTGTGACGGGAATGGCAAAGTATTCTGAGAAACAGTATTCCAATTAGACTCAAATCAAACCATTATCAGGCTTCTATTTGCTATAATGGAACAATTTCATTTCGTCTAAGGAAATAAGACATAATGCTATAATAGGAAACCTGACTTTCAATTTGATCAAACAAAGCAATCACACCGGAAAGAAAAACTACATATTTTAATGTGCATAATACAGTTATTTTAGGATAATACGTGGGTCCGTATCTTATGGCCTTTCTTTAAACTTAATATTTGCAAATCAGGCCATTCAATTCAATAAGAGAAGTCTTTGTTGGAGAGGGGCATGTGATGTTAGGAAAGAAAATATTGGTTTCAAAATGACTTCAAAACCTTCAGTGTGGGCTGGGAAGGTGGCTCAGTGGTAGAGCGCTTGCCTTGCATGCCTGAGGCCCTGGGTTCAATTCCTCAGCACCACATAAGCAAAAAGAAAAAAGCCGGAAGTGGTGCTGTGGCTCAAGTGGTAGAGCATTAGCCTTGAGCTGAAGAGCTGAGGGACAGTGCCCAGGCCCAGAGTTCAGGCCCCACAACCGGACCCAAAAAAAAAACAAAAACCTTCAGTGTTTTATGTGACTTACCTATTGTATTTGGGCTATCTACCTGTTAGATGTTGAAAATCATGAATCTCTCCAGGAAATGAAGTTCTGGAATGTGTATGCCCTGCCACTCTTAGTGAAGTCCAAGAGCCAACCCAGTACATTCCGACACCAAAAGGTAAGCGCGATGGTGTTTCATTGGGTTTGAACGGGAGTCAGAGGAAGGCACGGGGCAAGTGCAGTCACAGGCACCAAGTAAAGCTTGGGGCTGAAGGAGAGAAGAGCTCCTAGCCTGGTTTCACCAAGAGGATCCACTTCTCCCCATGACGACAGCCGGCACTTGCAGGGGAAGCTCCCAGGGCCATCCTTTCATTCGCTGGTCAGCTCCCTCTGCAGTGGCCACTGTGTACCAAGCACCATGCTGGATGGAGTGACTGACCAAAAAGCTGAAGAGGAGGCCATCTGTGGAACCTGCATTCGTGGCGCTCGGTCTAGAGGGCTCGTGGAGGGAGACAGGTAGGATGCTGACAGGTTATGAAGGAAGGTCTGAAGAGGCCTCAGGAAGACAACTTCAGGAAAGCTTCATTGAGAAGCTTGGATGTCAGTGTTGATAGGGGCATAGGAGTCTGCTGGATGGGGTGATGCCTCTTACAAGATCAGCCTGTGGCAGGGCAGAGTGGTGAGGCTACTGGGGACTCAAGGTGCCGGCTACAGTCAGAACCAAGGCAGAGAGCAGCACGCACAGCTCAGAGGCTGTGGCTGGGTGGTGGAGATGTGGACCAGGCTGCGCCGTCAAAAGCTTATTCCTCAAAGTAACCTCTTCCTCAGGATTTGGAGTGGAAAAACAAGGCCTTTGCACATATCCAGGAGAAAAGTTCATCAATCATCCAGCAGAGAAAAGAATGATTTTACAGAAGCAGGAAACACAAGTCTGCCTCGTGCCGGGTGCTGAGCACGGCGTGAGCTCTGCGGAGCCGCGAGGTGAGCGAGGCAGCATGTGATTTCGCTGACTTCCATGTAAAATACGAAGGCTCCCATATTTTAATAATACAGCACTTTGTATGTTCACCAACCAGCGGTATGATAGATAGATCCACAATAATAAAATTCAATTTTTCAGTCCCTCCGTGAAAAAGTCATTTTCATCATTCAACATTATGTGTTCATCCATGTGATGTAGAAGACCCTGTATATCTTGAGTAGAGCATGTAGAATTAAATTGACCCTATTTTACGATAGTTTAAAACCCACCACTGATGTATGAGTCCGTGAGGTCATAATGCGCAAGACACCCAGCCAAGTCTTAACCACCTATCTGCACAAGTTGAGTCATTCAATTTTTTTTTCTTGTCAAGAATTTTTAACATCCAACTAAACTGCAAAATTGACCTCACTCTATATTGCTCTCTGGGCAGTGCCAGAGGTGCCAGATGACGAATGAGATGGGTTCTCTCTAATCTAGCAGCCTGCTGTGTGGGGTTTCAGCCATGGCCAGGGCTCCAGGGAGCATTTCCCATCTTCTCCAGTCGGTTTCCTGATGCTTATGGGCATTTTTTTTTTTTTTTTTAGTATGCCAACAGACAGAATCTGGAGTGCATGTCGGCTTCAACGATTAAGAGAGGAAAATGTGAAATAAATGTACGTGAGTGGAAGGGAGAGAGCTGTCCGATGGATCATTCTACCTCCCACAACCTGGAGAAAATAACATGCTGTTTTTCAAGTCTTAATGGTTCAAGTCTCGAGTTTCTGAAAAAGAATGTGATCTTGGGGCATTTGGTGGCTCGTGAGTCTGCTGAAGGATTCAGGGTTGAATTAAAACAATGAGTGGGGGCTGGGAAGGTGGCTCAGTGGTAGAGAGCTTGCCTAGCATGCTTGAGGCCCTGGGTTCAATTCCTCAGCACCACATAAGCAGGGAAAAAAAAGCCGTAAATGGCGCTGTGGCTCAAGTGGTAGAGTGCTAGCCTTGAGCTGAAGAGCTGAGGGACAGTGCCCAGGCCCAGAGTTCAGGCCCCACGACTGGACACCCCCCCAAAAAAACCCCAAAGAAACAAAAAACAATGAGTGGCCATCTTTCTTGGGGATGGAGGTCAACTCTAATCAAGAGCTGTCCTTTCTAAAGAATACATCACTTTTGAGGACTATTGTTACAGTTTTCTTTGTAAGAGCCTGAAGATTAAGTAACTTATGTTTTTGGTGTAAATTTAGTTTTTAATCATTTTGACAGATGGAAAAGCAATTTATATGTTCATAATTTGAAGGGAAAGAAAAAAACCCCAAAAGTTGGTGAAAGTCTGCAACAATAATAACCTATTCTTCATGAGAGTTAATTGCCCACATGAAATGGGTGATGTATTTAAAATGCTTTGAGTATTTAAACATCTAGGTTGCATGTGGTCTAAATGAGATGCTTAAAAAGGAAAACTTTCCCTTCAAATTCATAAAACAAAATGAAACAAAATGAGTTCTGGGGCTGGGAAGGTGGCTCAGTGGTTAGAGCGCTTGCCTTGCATGCCTAAGGCCCTGGGTTCGATTCTTCAGCACCACATAAGCAAAAAGAAAAAAGCTGGAAGTGGCACTGTGGCTCAAGTGGTAGAGCGCTAGCCTTGAGCT